CAACTCAGCTCATTTGTTCTCACTGAATGAATGAGAGGAGCTCATTTAAAAAACAGAGCAGCTGCTACCATGGTGAAGAGTATCCAGACCTTACATTAAAGGAAAGCCGCCTCCCAGCTGCAGGAGATACAGAGTTACAACCTGCAAATACAGTTTTTAAGTCAGTTTTATGCTAAATTGCAAACAGTTTTTAGAAGATACTGCATCTCGCAATTATTACTTATTTGATTATTTGAGAAAGCTCTACTGTATATGCATATAAACTTTGGCCAGCTAGAAAATTAGCAAAGTCCCAGCACAGAAATGACAGTAAATTGAATTTTTTTTTCTTTTAAAACAGAAGTATATGTGTTAGATGATTTATTGTTTTGGCACCTTTGCAGGCCTCATGACACTGTGAGCTGCAAATGCCAAGTGGACTGACAAAATTGTCACTTTGACAAGCGATGCAGTTTTGTACAGCCTGATCTGAGTTTTCAACAGTTGGAACATCATCAGTGGAGTCGAAGGGCGAGCTAGGAAGCATCTACAGGGTGGTATTCGCCTCCAAACGAGGGGCCCAGTTTACGTTCTGTTTCTTCTGAAATCTTCTGAAAGAACAGGAGGATATTACATCGAAAATTTCAGTTCTGTGGGTGGACAGTCCGCAGAGAAGGCCTATGTTTCCTGGCTGATAGTCAGCAGAGGTTTCAGTGGCCATCATGTGTTTCACAATGACATGGAACGGTCGCTTGACATGCATGCAAGGGGACATCCAGCCCTCTCACTTCTTATTCCTGATTCCTCATTTTCTCTGGACTCCACAAGATTCAACTATCAGACAAGGCTGTGTGGGTATTATTAGACAAGGGTGAATCACAAGGCACATGGACACGCGCAACTCACAAACTCACACACACACACACGAAACCATTCGCAGTGGAAAATAACTTTTTTCTCCTCTTTTATACATGACACATTAGAGTACAACTCTGCAGGAGAAGGCCTGCAGTCTCAGTCTCTTTAATAATTTATAAAAGTTTAACTTTTGTGAATATGTTCATTCCCAAACTACACACACACACAAACACGCACATTTACCCATATACACCCATATAAGGCTTCGGGCCCCTATCCCACCAAACAACTAAGTTCCTCTTTCTTTATGTATTGCTCAAGTCAGACAAGGATGACTCAGTGCGGATATTAATCATGTTTTTTTTGTTATCTTCGCATCTCACTCTGCTAAGTCTGCCTGTCAGAGCTGCAGTTAGCCAGTCTATTTTAAAAATTTGAGAACTTAAAGACTGGTTAAAATTCTTAAATGTTAAAACCGAGGCCCCCAAAGAACATGGCCTCGGTTCAACTCCGATAAAATATTGGTGGCGGGGCATAAGACTGTTCAGCATCATATGTTTGTACATTCGTACATTTTGTGCTAATTATCACAATGGTGGCAAGTATTCCTGAAATTGTACACTTATATTATTCATTTTGCAACTCCTTCAAACTCCCTTTAAACATCTCAGGCTGTGAGAAAGTTAATGTCAAAGTTAATGAATGGAAAGGGGTGAGGGTCCTGAGACTGCTGGTGTACCTGTGTGCTTATAGCTACAAGTGCAAAACAAGTTTAAAAAGCAGATAATGCTGAGGCAGAAGATTAAACATATTTGCTGTGATAATATAATGAGATTTTTGTTTTCTTGGCTGTCATCAGGGCAAATGTCATACAGTAATTTATTCACTCAACCCCTGTCACATGCACCACCTGGTGGTCAGGCAGTTTAAGAGAACTTCTTGTACAGTTGGTGGGGATAAGGGTCACCTATAGGAGCCATCCATGGGTGCAACACTCACAAAGTGGGCACTAAAATGAAGCATTCAGATCCTTTACCAAATAAAACTACTGATACATGAATTGTTAAAATATGTTAAAAGTCCTGCATTCCAAAGCCAACTTAAAGTTAAAGTACAGAAGTTTTATGAGCTAAATGAAGTCATTCTTCAGAACAATGGCACTAATATAACATATGATATGACTGGATTGTTGATACTGATACTGATGCACAGCTGTTCAAGGTGGAGCTGGTATGAACTACTACAGTTTGTAGATTCACTCACTGACTCCGAAACAAGGATAAAAAGTTCTGCTATTAAAAATATATATTGTTTTTTTTGGGACCTTCTTCTGAGCTTTGCCTTTTTTCTGAAATATTAGATAATTTTACATCTTTGAGCCATGATCAGTTATATATAAATCAAACCATGTGAAAAGGTGAGAAGGGACATGTCTCTTTGGAGGAACTACAACTTACAGTCCAAAATGGTTGCAAACCACTGATTTAATCTTCAGCAACACGTTTTATATAAACTGGTCATGTTTTGTTTATATATAAAATATTAATCTGCAAAGTAACTAGTAACTAGAGTTGTATGTTTTGGAGTAAAATGTACAATATTTCCCTTTGTAGTGGAGTAGAAGTAGCATTGAATGATACACATGTACGAAGTATACATACCTCAGTTATACATAATTATACATAACAGATATATACATATACATACAGAACTTGGGTAACTGTACTTATTTACTTTTCCCATTTTCCTGCACTTACAGTCAGCCTTATGTGTAATAACTGATCACTGTATAACTCAATGTGAGAAGGTTTAATTGAGTTGTGGATGTGTGGAGATAGCAGGAAAGCAGGGGAGGCCTCCACAGTCGTTTCTCATTGCAGGCTCTGTACTTTCACTGCAAGACTCCTGTCTGATTTCTATCAACTCCAGATATATCCTGTGGCTTGTTGAGTGTATTAATAAAGCCCATTTTCTCCATCTCAACTGATCTTTCTATTTATACCAGAGGATGCTAGGAGGATGGCGTGCCTCATACCAGCTATACCATTTATATACTGTTATGTACTCTAACGTGGCCCTTGAGGATGACACTGACAGTTGTTATTTATGTTTTGGGAATCTTTAGTTAGTTTTTGTTTGTTTTATCTGATGGTAGGTTGCTCTCAGTGGTGGATGAAGTACAGTACAGAGATATCTTATCAGAATAGGACTAAAGTCACCTGAATATTAATAATATTTTTATGTAAAAGACTTAAAGCATCTCACATTTACTGTCCTTAAAGCTAGGGTAGGTAATGTATTTCAGAAATTTTTTTTGTTATATCTGTTGAAATTCTTTTAACATCCCGACAGAAATCATTAAATGAAATGCTCTGGGGGAGGAAAAGTGGTATCTCTAGCAGTCACAGGCCTGTAATAAGCTGACCTGCCTGTCTATGATCAGAACCACACTGATTCACAAAATGTCCTTCCTATTTTGTTTTATAGTAACAAAGATGCTTACGGGAAATGTATCGGAGTAAAGGTAGATTTTATTTAGGAAATGCAGAGTGAAAGTGAAAGTTGACAAAAACATAAAAACTCAAGTAAAGTACAGATATTCCCCCAAAAATACTTAGTTGAACTTAGTATTATTACTTTGTTACATTACACCACATTGTAGATAGGCCAGCAGTGCTCTGTGCCAAAGAAGAGTCCACGAGGAGTCAGTAACATACTGTATATCAAATTAAGACCTCTGTAATGCAGTCCGACACAAAATCATACTCAGGGGTCATTGATATAAAAATCTAGATTTGGCACTGACTGCACCCACTTTGGCTGATGGTGTATTAAATAAGTCGGTTCCTCTGTCCTTCGCTGTGCTCCTGCAAGGTGGCAGTAAGGTAGTAAAACCCAAACTGCTCAGATGGGGAACCCTATATTTTGGTGTGTATAAGATAAAAAAATAGTAGATATTAGTGAAGTGTCCCAGTAAACCAGTGACAGTGCGACAGTGCACAATACCAGCACCCTGGAACTAAAGAAGCCAATTGGAATTTGACCATCATTAACTTTACACCTGTGTTTTTCTTACTGTGACATGTTAAAATGTCCTTTGTGAAAGAAGTCTACAAAGATTAGATTAAATTATATTCATCTGAAAGGATATTCAGTCTGCATAATATAGCCTATGTAGAAATGACAATAATACAAAAATGGAAATGTACATATCCTCAGGAGCCTGAGTACGATGCTGTTCAATCTGCAGTCTACCTGATATGAATAAGAAAGAGAGCTGAAAGGTGATTCAGTGTTACTATATTACAAGCACAGAAATATGGAGTATTAATGGAAAACCCACATTTGGAACAGCTCCTAGGAAATATCCTGGTTTAATAGCTACAGTTTCAATCCCTATAATCAAATTAAACTAATTTGGGTGAGTCCAGAAAGCCTGTTTCCCCCCTAGCAGTGGTTCCCAACCAGGGGGTTGTACCCGACTAAGGGTTGCCAAAGATTCACAGGGGATCACAAGGCCTTAAACTTAAAAAATATAAACAGTAGGCCTATATCTCAGCATTTGATTCACTTATGTGAAGAAAGAAGCCTATTAAGTAGCCTAAAAAAAAACTTCGGTTTTTCTGAGTAATTTATTTTTTGGTTTGTTTTTTTAAATAAGTTTTTCTGACTAATTTTTTTTTCTGTCTATTGTTTCAAATGCTCTCTAAACTCAGAAAAAAAAAATGACTCAGAAAAACCAACCATAAAAATAAATTACTCTGAAAAACCTAAAAATAAATTACTCTGAAAAACAGAAAAATAAATTACTCTGAAAAACAGAAAAATAAATTACTCAGAAAAACAAACCAAAAAAGAAATGTTCAAGTGAATGCAATACGCTTCGGTAGAAACACATAATACAGACAGACAATTGTATAAAAAGTTCCCTAAACAGGAAATAATCTGCTCCAAATGAATCCAAATCCTCATTTTACACAAACTTCTTGCAGTTATTGCATTCACTATTCTGGTTCATTGCACAGTTTTGAATATAATATGAAATATCCATTAAAATATGCCAATGAGTCAGTTTAATAAACCACAGAAAAGGGCTGGGAACCACTGTCCTAGACTGACCTTGTAGTATAAATACTTAGGCTCTAGGATCCTTTCTGTATGTTAACTGTGTCTGAATGTGAACATTGTAGAACATTTGGTTGATTATCTCCACTTTTTCCTCTGTATTTTGATTAAACACAACAAAGAATAAGCTCTAGTGTCTCCTGGAGGCTGCTCCTTGATGTGGAAAAAGTAACTTCCTGATATTTTGTTGGTGGGGCGGGATCCACTCAGTTTATTTCTCCCCCCTCTTCCAGGATCCTGATACGTGGCTGTTTTGGGAAAGCCGTGGGGTGACCGACAGTTACTCCAGTGCTTCAGCAGCTGGGAGTGAGGAGAAAACTCAGCGGCGCCAGCCTCCCTTCATCAAGTCGGCCTGGATGGCAGGGACACACTGGTGCAAAGACTGTCGAAACCACAAGGTATTTTATTTTAACATTGAACGCCTCATTCGTGTTGCCATGTCAATGCTAGCACGTTGGCGACCGTTGGCACCAACTTACTCTAACTGACGTTCTGGTTTTAACGGTGCGACCGTTAAGCGTTGATGTGCTGTGATTGCTAATCTGTTAGCATTCCTAACGGCTGTCTAACGTCCCATTAGTGTGTGTGTGTGTGTGGCGGCTAACGTTAGCTCGCTAACTTTTTAGTCACAGAAGTGAGAGTTAACGTTAGCTTTGTGTGTTGTTTGTAATTAAAAACACGGTTTATGTGTGCCAACGTTTATTTACCGCATTGTCTCTCAGTTTGGCATTATGGTGGTTGTATTTTCTGTGTATTTTTTTTTTGTCGCAGTGCAACTGTTGAGAGTTCCTGTTAACTCAGACAGGAAAGCAATGAGCAGTATGTGTTACTTAACTTAGATGCTTTCAAATGTTAATAAAAAAAGATGAATACTCCGTTGCATGAAGGTTAACGCTGCTCAGAAATATCCAGAGGCAGCAGACCAAAGGGAGAAAACTCAACCTAACTTTTAACAGTAGCAACAGTTTGCACCTCGTTTGAGCACCTAATGAACTATTTTGTTTTTATTTTAGGTAGGTTGTTGAGTAATTTGGTAAATCTGCTGATATTGGCTTTCATCACAGTTGTATCAGTGTAATGGCCTATATCAGTGGTGCCCAACCTTTTTCCTTAAGGGACCCCTTTTCTATCATTTAATGACTAAATTATGTCATTTTATATTCAAAACTGTGCCATGAACCCAAATAGTGAACATAACTGTGATAAGTTTGTGTAAAACAAGTGATTTGGATGCATTTTGAGCAAATTATTTCCTGTTTAGGGAACAATTCTGTCTATATTCTGTTTTTGTAAATAATTTTTAACAATTATACTTAATGGGCTACTTTTTTGACAAATTCAGTGCTTTCTTGTCTCTGGAGCTGACAGTTTCCTTACTAATTTACTTAAAATTTACTTTTCTTCATGTAAGTGAACCAAATGCTTAAAGTTTTCTTCGTCTAAAAATAACAAAATAACAACAACAAGAAGGCCTTGCAAACCCCCATGAAAGTATGGCAATCCCTACTGGACAAAATGATGGCGATAGTAAGGCTGCACAATATGGTAAAAATATCATGGTGATGTGAAATGTTTTGGGGTCTGTACCAGACAGTCATGATTTCTTAAATCTGGAGGACAAAATTTGTAGACCAGGGAATCTCTACAAGCACTACAACACTTCAGTATAATGCTGTTTTGTCAGTACACAACGTCAACACGGTGACAATTCTCATCATTATCATGTGTTTATGTAAAATAATAAGTAAACACATTAAACTGTCAAATATTGATATTGGTATCATTCTCAAAAATCCATGGTTGGGCTATAATGTGGCTATTGAAGTCTGTAATTCTGTTATTTAATGTGAATTAAAAAAAATTATTGATTTAATTGATAAGTTTAACAAGCAACTATTTGTAAGTAATTTTTTCAGGCAAAGATGTAAGCAAAACGTTAATTGTTTCCAACCTACAATTGCAAGAATGTGCAGCTTGTCTTACTTGTTAGAAACTGAATAAGTTCTGATCTTGGACTGTCAGTCAGACAGGATCACTATGGGCTCACAGTTTCCTGACATTTAGTTTACCAAATAACAGACCAGATTAATCGATAATAAAAATACTCATTAGCTGCAGCCCTAATTTATAATGCTCATTTAAAATGTTCTTACTTGATTGAAAAGGTACACGAGAGGTTTGTCTTAATGTGTGCTCTTCTTGCAGAATTATTGGTTGCAAGTGCATTTTGGACCGTGGGACGGATGAAAGGTGGAAGCTGTGTGAAGCCCAGCTGGGCTGTAGCTGCTCTATTTATCCCAGTTACCCTGCTGATGCTGACCTCCAGGGGGGCATCAAGCAGCCAGAAGATGTCACAAACCTCTATGGCTCATGCAACAGCCACGGCTGCAGGACCAGGCCCCGGCCTGACAGATGACCTCCCAGGCCTCCGGGCAGTAGCAGACTTCTTAGCCAGTGAACATGCTCATGTTTGGCTCTTGTCCCTGGTGAGCTCTGTTGCTGTGGGCCTCAGCGGGATTTTCCCCCTGCTTGTCATTCCCATCGAAGCTGGAGCAGCCCTCAAAACAGAAGGTAAAAGAGAAACGTAACCTAAACATGCTGGTGAATTACGTATGAACGATAATGATGACGCATAGACAATTCTGTCATTTGCAATATTTTTCAAGACAAGTCATGACTGATACATCACGATATCTGCGTACCTGAAGAGAAAAGATGACCTCTAAATGGTAATATCATTTTTTAGAAAAGTTCTGCATCTCTGTAATGCATTACGAAGAGCTAGTCATCAAAGAAATATATAAACTATTTTTACTTCTGTATTTAAAAAAAAAAAAAAAAAAGCTCTAGTTTTCTTAACACATACGTGCCAGCATGAACACAAATGGCACCATCTAAATGTGAGACAGCTATAAAATGACAGTAAGTGTTAAAAGCAGCCTCATTAACCCGACAGAATGTATCGTGTTCTTGGTTCATTCGTAATGCATTGCATGAACTACAGACAGCCCATCCATCTGTTCTGGCATCCACAATTCTCGCACTTCTCACAACCATACACATACAATTCCATCTCTTTAGTGACTTGGTAATAAATCTCAGCTCTCCACACCCCCTGATAAGAGAAAACAACCCCAGTGGGATCAGCAAGTAGTTCTGCTGACCCTTTGTCAGCTGGACTGGCTGAAAACAACTAAACACAGCTGCAATTTCTTCATGGTTTAAAATGTTAGATTACGGAAAACTTTTAACGATTCAATGAAATGGACACTTGAACTTCAGCTTGCAGGATAGCAGAACATCTTCAGGGGTGAGCTCATGAGCTCCATTGCAGGTTTTTCTGTTTTTAAAGTACAAATGAGACTGAAGAATTGGAAAGCAGGCTACCCAGTAAATGATGTAATTTTACAGGAAGGTTATGTTGTTGTAGCGAGACCGAAGTTGTTGTACTAAAAAGGATGAATGTCACACTGTCATTTAAAAAGGTCACTCAGTTCCACACCAAAAATAAGTGGAAGAATATACAGTGGGGAAAAAGGCTTATTGCTGCAAATTAAAGGCACTACATGGAGAATTTGAACATTTTCTTTTTTTTACACCCCCAGAAGTGTCTTTAAACAAAAATAAAGCGACTGCAGCCATACTAGCGGCTCTGAACACACAATAAAAGTACAGCTGAGGCTGATGGGAATGTCATTAGTTTTGCAAATATTTAGTAATAAAGCAAAGTGTAGGATAAAATGAAATCTTGACATGATAATGGTGATAGATGAGAAGTTAAGTTATAACAATTCATCCTGATGGGAACATAAGTGTGTGATCCGGTTTCATGGAAGTCTGAGACATTTCACTCAAAGCTACAAAATGCTGCTAGAGAAGTGATCACCAAAGTCATTAGGATAGATTGTCCGTTAGGGAACCCCTGAGTGTTTGTACAGATGTTTGTGCCAACCTATGAGGTAGATGTTGAAATACCACTGGATACGTGAAAGCTGGTCGCACTAGATGAGAAGTCAGGCGGCCACATAAGTCTGTAGGATTCTTCCTTTGGAAACCATGAATGTACGAGATTTCCTGGCTGTCTGTCCAATAGTTGATGTTATTTTAGTCTGCACTAAAGTGGTGGTCAGACAGACCGTGCCATTCATAGAGCCACGCTGCTAGCTAATACTATAGCAGACAGTAATGCACACTTTCATAGTTTCATTTGGTTGGTGTTTGTTCCTTACCTTATGTTTGAACACACAAATGGCTTTTCAATCCACCTGTTTTTTATGTGCATTTTCAGTTCGCACATAAAAAAAACCCCATCGGAAACGCTTCAGTAACCACGGCTGAGTTACTGTGGGTCAGCCTGAGGCCTCTCGAGTGACCCCACCCTCAGGAACGTGGCAATCCAGATGTATTTTAGGCCGTGGGTTTTCAAGTGCCGTCCTGACTGGAGCGTTAGTCATTACTGAGGGAACTCCTAAAGCATGACATTTTTTGTGGAACACAAGAGTAATCGCTGTGTATATTAGCAGCCTGAGCTAGAGACACTTCTGTGGATTTGTGTGTGTGTGTGTGTCATGTTTTACTTGTCATAAATATATGAATTAATCATTAGAAAAGGAGGAGGAGTGATCTTAAGTCAAAATGGAAGAAGATCACATAAATCAACAAACAGTTCTTTAGTAAACAAACTATACAGTAAATGCTACCTTGTTTTTCTTCACTCTTTCTCCGTCTTTTCTCAGCTGGATGCCAGAAGCTGAAGCAACTCTTGAGTTTCGCTATTGGTGGTCTCCTTGGTGATGTATTCCTTCACCTACTTCCTGAGGCGTGGGCTGTCTCTGACTCTCCAGGTGGGTTTCCTTTCCACCAACACCTCCTTTGTATTTGAAATATTTATTTATATTTATTCTTCCCTGTCAAACATACTTGGATTAAAATAGTTCTAGTAGAATTTAGCCAATGATGTTTACTACTATAATGTAAAACTATTTATTATTATAACTCCACCATTGCATGCCTTACTAATAGTCTGCTTAATACCTGAAAGCAGGCCAGAGTAATGTCAGTAAACCTCATTTGGGAACAGTTAATCACATATATTTTCAAAATATATTAATTATGCTTTACATTGCTTTCAAAATGTTAATATTATTTTTCACTGATTTGTATTACTCTTTGTTTTAGTTATTATAAACATTGTTGACTGCACTACTGCTACTACTCACCCATGTTTTAGCACAGTTGTCACTGCAAATGCTCAGTGAATCTCTTTGCTTACCTCTTAGCTGGTAGACATAACCACTACACGACCCAGGGCCTGTGGGTAATCGTTGGCCTGTTGGCCTTCCTCATCCTGGAGAAGATGTTTCCAGACCCAGACGGTCAGGAGGAGCCCACTTCAGACTCAGACCTGAATTCTAACTCTGCTGTGAGTATTTCAGCCGAAATAGTATATTTTTAAAGGAATCTGCTCATTGCTGCACATCGGAGTCTCACTGCACTCAGACATGTCAATACAAGCCTTTACATATTTTCATGGGTATGCTTAGTTCAGACTCCTGTTAGTGCTTCGTCTGCATATTTCTGTCAGTGGTATCAGTGTTTTTGTGGCTAGCATCAGATGACCCACTGTACAACCGGCCTAACAGTGATTTCCTCTAACGGGGTAGAGTTTAAAAGAATAGTTTGACATTTTGGAAAATGCACGTATTTTCTATCTTGATGAAAGAAGATCAATACTACTCTAACATATTGTCATTACAGTGGAGAGTCTGGGATGTTACTGCTCCTGGCCAAGAAATAGTCCAGCACATTACCCTCCATTTACCCACAATGTGTTGCTTTTTATGGTTAGGTTTATGAACAGATTAAACAATCAAGATATCAACATTTTAATTAGTGACCTATAGACTCACTATACTTATATTTTCAGGTTCACAGTATATCACGTTTTTTTTTTTTTTTTTCCATGATGGAGCATTTGTGTAGGTTTACAGTGGCTTATTCTACTGTCAGGAGTACATAAAATATGTCAACAATTTTTATTGTGCAAACTGCAACAAAGTAAAAAAAAAAGAAGATATGGCAAGAACTTGAACATTGCTTCCTTTTCAAAACAAAATATTTTAAAATAGTCGTATAAACACTATAAACTGACATAAAATACGAAGTATTCAAAGAGATATTTCTCAAATGTTTAGTTGCACAAGAAACAAATTGCAGCTGTTTCAGCTATGCGCCGTTATTGCGGTATATGAGAAATTCATATTGTACAGGAAATTAAAACTGGGATATTTTCCCAAAATATCATACTGTTCATTTAAGATGCTCTCACTATAAATGATTATGAAATGGATGTTTATCAATTAGCAAACTAAACTATATGAGATGTTGTGTCTACACTGTACTGGTTTGCAACAGCTGTTCATATTTATTATTTAATTAGTGTTAACGAGTGTTAAAATGAGATGCTTGCTGTAATCAGCGTCAAAGTTGAAGTTTATTGTTTAGAAATTATATCATAAATACCACCGGGTGTTGCAGGATAAACAGACAACTTTTTAACACATTCTTTGTAGACAACAAACGGCTGGTTTCAGTATGTTTGTAGAGGCCGTCTCATCCTCCCTCCTGTCTTTGTTGTGCCAGTGAGGGAGAAGATTGGAATCCACGGCTCAGCTCCTCCACTAGTGTCTATTTATAGTGCCGGGGTGAAGCAGCTGCTTTAGCCATTTTAGCGTCCACAAGAGAGCACTCAGCTTTTAGACAGAGGCAACAATAGACAGGGACAGAGTGTAACAGTGTGTTTTAGAAACCGAGAGAGAGGTTATTCGTATTTTGTTCTAATAAAATACTGTGTGTTTAGGCTAATCTTACCTGTAACAAGCTTCTTTTTACTTGAATTGGATCAGTGTTTTTGATGGATACATCATATGTGATGAGAGATTTCTTCACTTTTCTTATTTTAGGTCATTTTAAAATTCCTCATTAAACAAAACTCATGAGGTGTTTTGCAAAGACGATTTAACTCCAATCTATTTTTGCAGCAGGAGGAGATTGATAGCCATGAAAATTCATCACACTTTATTACTTCCTCATGCTTCAATCATAGACATGGAGCAAACATTTCTTTGCTGCAGCCAGAAGACAGCAGGCTATTTCCCTCTCGCTTAATTTGACTATCAGTCTAAATGGCAACGTAAGTGGTTTCTGATTGAAGGAACAAGGAAGTTGACTATTCTCGGAAAACAGAGGCTATAGCCTCTCTTTCCTGAGATGAATCGGTCTCTTCTTTTATATTTAAAATATAAACATGCTGAAGAGTGTTGGAATTTCTGGGTCATCTGTTATGTCTGAAAAATAAAGCAGAAGTACAGATTTTTGCTCATTGCTGAATATGTAGGAAGCTGGAAAAATAATGAGGGGCTTTTTTAACAGCTGGTCTGCTGGCGGTGGGTGAACCCTTTGACACACAGTGGGAGCAACAATAAAATGGCTGTTTATTGTTCTGTGGAAATCAGGCTACCATTAACTCACTGTTTTTAGCAAGACTGGTGTTAGTGGGCAAGGTGATGTCCTTACGGGAAACAAGTTAATGATATATTAGTGATGGTAGACACTAATGGGAAATGGGAACATAACAATTATTCATATAAAACATTTACAAAGTATAAAAAAAAGGATGGGGTTATGGTGCATGTGAGGACAACACGTTCACTTTTGCCTTGTTTTTCTTCCCTTTTTCTCCACAGACACAGTCTAATTCAGTTTTCAGTGGAAAAGCAGTGGTATCACTCAGAAATGGGCTCCATGCTGAGTCATGGAAATCCTCCAAGCAACAGAGTCTGCAGGAAAGATCAGAGAAAATTAAGGTAATGCTGACAACCAAAACAGTTTTTTTTTCCAGTTAACAGAAAAGAAAATGATTTTAAAAAAGGAGAGACAAACTGTTTGATATGGGATGCTTACATAAGATGCATTTTTTGCTTCTTCAAATCCTCTCAACTCATTAATTTGGTTTGCCAACTTAGTTGGCTCAATGAAACTAGAAAGCTAAACTTGACACAGTTTATTGGTCATTTTAAATTATATTCATCTTGCTCCCAAAACAATTAATACAACACAACATTGTTTTTATTACTGAAGGGTCTTACTGTTAGACTGTGACCCCCTCTGACCTATACTTCTATACTGCATATTTACACTTATGGCATATGTACATTTCACCTTTTTACATATATTTATAATTTTTATTACCATTTTAAACCTTTAATTTTTTTTTCTTTATTTTTATTTTTATTATATTTATTCTTATTTTTTACACTAGTCTTTAACACAACCTCACGGAACAATCCTTTATACTGGATTTGTCTCAGTAAACATACCTGCCACACCAACAGAAAAATGTGTGGGTTATAAGTGACATAATAGATTATTAGGACATTTAATTCTGAGTCTGATAAGCCATCCCACAGCTTAGTCTTCAGAGACACAAAACCCAGCCAGTAAGAGAGCAGAGAGGGAGAAGAATAATGTGAAGATAGACATTTAAGTCCACTCAAGTAGCACATCTCAGTGTGGTTTTAGCACTTTTACATAATAATGGAATCAAAACGGCCAGTCAGTAAAGAGGAACTGATGAAATCATATTACCACTTACAGATCCACTTGAAGGTTTTATTTATATAAATAAAAAGTTTCCAAAATCTAAAGTAAAATAAGTGGTTAATAAGAAAAATAAAGGAACGTTTTAGGGGTGTGTGTATATATAATATATCTAGTTAACACTAAATTAACAATCTAAACTAAACTAAAACAATCATGCCAGTACAACTTCTGGATTACCAGACAAAAGGGAAAATGTGTAATTTGAGATCAGCAGGATCAACTGCACACCATAATACCAGATAGCCTACTAAAACACCCCGCACAATTCAGTGGTGTATTAAGGGGACTTCAACAACAAAATTCCTAGGAATCCATGGCACATCACCAGCAGCTGCTTTTTTATTTATTTATTTTTTTTTTTAAACTGTTTTTCAGTTTCTTTGTGTTCTTACACTGGATTCAGGTTCCAGGTTTCCTCAGAGGAATGGATCATTTACAGTCTTATTTTAATGGGGTCAGACTACAAAACTGGGAGTAACTTTAGCTGGCATCACAAGACGTATTTAGGAAATACAACCTATAAAAGCTTACATACTGGATATTGAAGTGCAACTGGTGCCATTTAACCAGAATTATATCTCTTTAAAAGAGAATGTTGTGATTGATAGATAATTACATTCCAGTTGACCGTACTTCGTATAGTTAATCAATTGTAATTTGGAATCATTGTTTCATTCGTCACAGACAAGTGGGTACCTAAACCTACTGGCCAACTGCATTGACAACTTCACTCATGGACTGGCAGTTGCAGGGAGTTTCCTGGTTAGCAAAAAGGTAAGAAGCTGTGATAGAGTAACTTCAGCAAAGTCTAAAAAGACTAAAAATATAAGTAGACATAACAGATATAAATGAGAATACCTACATTTCTTCACCCTGTGTTACTTTTGGAGTAATATGCAAGATATACGTAGATTATACACATTTACAGTCTAGAGTTTGAGATTTCTGGCCTATAGTAGCTCAAAATATACACCAGTCAGTGAATATTAAAATAACATTTTGACAATTTCTGAATGCAGGATAACTAATTCATGTTTTAGTTATTTCATGCATCCGGTCCTTGAAGCAGACGTTCTAACAGTACATTTCACAGTGAAGAAAATGTCTTTAAAGTACTGCCTGCATTTAAAAACAAAACCACCAGTAAGGAAATTGTGTTTTGCGGTTATGGATCTGGGGCTTCAATTATCAACTATGTGCTGAAAAGGTCTGTAACCCCACTGGTTTAGCAAATTGCTTGTGTGAGAATATGATTACATTCACAGTTAGTTCTCAGCATGCATATTTATACATGAACTCCGGGTTTTCATAAGTATAATTGCAGGTGAAATAGCTGCAGACCAAATTAGCACACATTCATGAACTGACCATCATTTATAATAAATTCAGTGCATAAACTGACACTAGAGGCCTTTCTCATTTCCCAGTTTGTACTGTCTCGATTCTTCTCCTCGCACCAGAGATGCGAGCGGAGGAGGCGAGGAGAGACGCAGAGGAGAGAGGAGGCAAAGCAACAGGCATTTAACAGAATGAGATGTCGTTGCTTCAGAGTCAACAGCTGCACAGCTGAATCATCTGCCCATTGTTTTCTCATAGAGCACCGCTATTTTATTATCTCTGTCAGATAAACACAGTTCCGAACAATCATTATATATTTTCTTTTAATTCAGTTGACAACAGATGTCATATTTTATTTATATTTTTTAATCGTGCCCAATAATGCTGCTCTGTCACTATAAATCTTCATTTATTGCTCTATTGTATATAAAAATATTTGTTTTTCAATGTGTTCTGTACTTTCAGGGAATATATTGGGCCAAACACCCTTTAAGAAATATGACATTTTAACAATGCTTTATGTCTCCGTATCTCTAGAAACACAAGATAAAGTGCGTCATATGTCCACAGTCTTCTTGTCAATTCTGTATTAATTTTATCCATAAAGATAAACTTTTAACGATTTTGGCGCCTCAACTCGCTCCAGTCTCTGTTGTAAGTGGCAAAGGAATGAAAGGTTTTAATAATTATTATTTCTCACAAAGTAAGTACTGACTGGTGGATTAAATATATGCCGAATCAAACACTGACTCATAACGCTGTTAATTCACCTTCTACAATTATGTGTGTGTCGGTAATTTAAGAAGTTTTTTTGGCTGTTTCCATAGTAACTGTCTGTATGAAGGTGAAATGTCATTAAGGAATGTGGTTCACGAGGCGCTACACAAACAGAGAAGGGCAGATAGTTTGATCCTCTTCAGTAACTAATGCAACTTACCAATACATCTGTAGAGTGATCCCGCCATGGTTTGTATGTTCTAGCTCTATCACGTTTCTTTTATACGTCACAGGTGCCAAAAACATTAAAAAGACTTCCACAAAGGATACTCCTGTAAAATAGCCTCCGCTCTCCTCCCTTCTGTCTTCTCCCTGATGCAATTTAGGAATTGAAATGTCCTTCAAGATGCCGCACTTCGATTGATTTCCGGGTCACGGACAGGAGGACGGACGAGAGGAGACAAGGAGGGGAAAATTAGAGAAATGAGAATGGCTCTTGGCTGTCTGACCAGTCAACATGTAGAACAATTAAGACAGTTTAGATATACAACTTCAAGTAGCCGTTACTGGCATAACTGATTGACTCCATAATTATTATTTCTTATTCACCACCACCAAACAAAAACTTCACTCAGTTCACTTGCACATGTAGTTCAGATATGTGACCCCACAAGATACAAATAATTGGTTTGGGGGAACTGAAATGTTGATCCCAAAGAGACTAATAAGAGGGCAGTGTCGGACTGGATAAAAGACTTGTTAAATGTCCATTCAGTGTAAATGTTAGGCTACACCTGCTTTATTACTATTTCAGATATGGTTGTGTGCACTTAAAAGGTTGATTATTAGGCAGGAGAGCTGCGAAATGACCAAAGAGGAGTGCTATAATACTTCATGAAGACAAAAAACTAAAATGTATCTGGGGAATTTGGACTTGTATCACCTTCCCTGTGAGTACAGTGTTTGGCACCGTATACAGGCTCACTGGCAGAGCAATAAACCTGTTGTAACATTCCCACAGTCTGAAAGTGGACATTCATTACATGATACGGCAACCTTTTTCAGCTTGAAACTTATCGTGTTATCTTTCAGGCTTGTTGAAAAAGCTGCACTTTAAACTGCAGTAACATGTATTTGTGTCACTTCAGTAGGTTACTGTATATTTGTGGCTGTGGGAAAGCGAGAGTCCAGCTGGAGAGACATAAGGCTAGCAGCATGAACTATGGATCAGTGTGCCAGAGAGGAAGTTCAATAGATGTCTCAAACATACACATACAAGAAATCTCACCGGTGTTTTTATGTTCTCTCTGATGCATATTTATCACGATGTGATTTTGCCACAAAAAAAACGCTGCATCAACACAGTGTTGATTAAACATGAATAAGTTATGGTTCACAGTATTTCGTTCTGAATGGCTGATGAACATACTTAGGTCTTTTATTAGTAAATAGCACTATCAGGGTAATGTAAAATTGTGAATTCAGTTTAATTAAGTCTTATCTTAAAGGGAGCTGGTCATTGCCAGTATGATATTATCCATATGTGGCTTAAACCACACCATACCTTATTCCGTTACAGTTTTTTACTGTTACTGTTTTAAAGTTCTTTAGCTTTTTACATCCCCCTGCTTCTTGGACAAAGGTTGATTTTATTATTACTTAATTAGGCTACATTATGCACTTGGTCTGTTCAACTTAATTTGATGTTAACAGATTTTTAAATGCTTTTTTAGCTTTAAAGAAAATAACTTTCAATCACATTGTAAGGAAACTATTTGGGTCTTTGTCTTGCAAACTGAACAAATGGAGCTTAGCAATCAACTTGGGGGCTCCAAAGTCCCTAATAAGGATGCATTTGTCATCCATTGTCCCTTTGATACTACATTTCTTTACCAAGTAAGACGAAGCAGTGTTAATGAGACTTGTCTTCCAGGTTGGGTTCCTCACTACCTTTGCCATCCTGCTCCATGAAATCCCCCATGAGGTAAGATTACAGGATTCTTGGATAAATTGTACAATCTAATTTCTAAATTTATAAGCTTTACTAGAAGTACATAGGAAGAATCCGACTACTACAGCACTTGTAAACATGCTGAATGTTTAGCCTTTCCTCTGCTGTGTCATCGTCTGCAGGTGGGAGACTTTGCCATTCTGCTGAGGGCTGGGTTTGACCGGTGGAGTGCTGCTCGCATGCAGCTGTCCACAGCGCTGGTCGGAGTCCTGGGAGCTTGCTTCGCTCTGTGCGCTCAGTCACCACAAGGCACAGGTAAGATGGGACCGATTCTCAGTATACGTACAATCATACAATATTGTTAACTGGAGATCATTTGGCAGGTGCCAGAATCAGTCTTTCCTACCATTTCTAGAAAATGCCACTGCCTGGATATTGCCTTTCACCTCTGGAGGCTTCCTCTACATAGCCTTGGTGAATGTGGTGCCTGACTTGCTGGAGGAGTCCAGTTTAAGGTATCTTGGATGTTTTTAAATACTCATGCTCTTAATTCAATTCAATTTTCAATAGAATTTTATTTGTATAGCGCCAATTCATCACAGAAGTTATCTCAGGACACTTTTCAAATATAGCAGGTCTAGACCAAACTCCTTATAAAATATTTATATTATTGGTGCCCTGTGAAGTGTTTTTATGTTTACATTTGGTGTCACAGTACTCATTAAAAGACATTATGTGTGTCCTTTGAATTCATGCTAAAAATATGTTAAACCCAGCATTGTTTACATCCATGTTAACTAGCTTGTGGCCTTCTTCTTGACTGCCTTTGTTGGTGCATTGCTATGTTAGTACGTGTTGTACGCCCACGCCCCAACTGAGATCAGTTCGATTAGCGTGAAAATAACCACCATTATTGCACATGTGCATAGCATGGCTCAATAAGCAGCTACAGTGGAAAAAAAACTCCATAGGTTCCTTTAACTTTTTTTTTTTTTTTTTTTTTTTTTTTTGGGAGCCTGAAAGCACGGTGACAGTGTAAAAACAAAACTTTCTTGTGTGAAATGAGTTTCCATGGTACAGCAAAATGTCCTTTGGAAATCTGTCTGAAACTGTAACCTTTTGGAATTATTTATATATTTATTTATTTTATATTTTATTTATTTATTTTCAGGCAGTCCCTACTGCAGATCCTGCTCATTTTCTGTGGCGTGGCCGTCATGGCTCTGCTCTCTGCCATTGTTGACTGAACATGGAGGAAACTCCCCTCGTCTCGCCTTACCAAAACACTAAAACACAGCACTGGAGAGAAATCCTGTTCTCCACCCCCCCATATCTGGTACCTCTCATGGAAAGTTCATCTTGGTCTTGTTACACTACACAGAATATCTGACAGAAGAACTGCACTTTATGGATGGATAACTGAAAGGAAGACCTTCTTGATCTGCTGACTGGACATTTGTGTGGACACTTATTATGTGCCAGGCTTAAATATTGAGGGAATTCAGAGGGTTTATATGGATATCTGTTACCAAATTGTCTTAAATTGTTAATCAGACAATCATGTTTTTTTGCACATACATTTACACAGGTACACCTGATGCACCTGCTAAACAACAACAGGTATTATTGGACCTCTACAAAGACCTTTCTTCTTTAAAATGTATTCAACCATAAATAGTTTAGACATTGTATGTATTGTTACTGTTGTTGCATCTTCTTCTTTTTGATGTAGCTGCTTAATATTTATTGAAAATGAGACGAGCAACATACAGCTTTATTAGATGTGCGTCACCACCACGCCATCATTTTGTCTTGTTAAGAAATTAGTGCCAAGAAATCAGGATGGTCTGTTACAGTAGTGTCTAGTCTAAACCAAATTTGTTCCTGTTTGTCTTACTCAACACACTACGGTCTGTACCTTTATTTTGAGCACGAGTTGGTGCTCACACAAAACTGAGTAAATCATTGTGAAAAAGTTTTAAATTAACTGAAGAAAAAGATGTTTGTTAACGTTCAGTTTTGACTTAAACTTCTGGCCAAGACTACAGGGATAAAACTCTGAGAACGTTAACCATGCAGGATTATTCTTATCACTACGTTGTTGATGCACCTTTTGGTGAAAGTTTCCACCCCTGAAGAAATAAATATATATCTATATAAAAAAAAATAAACTACTGGTGTTTATTTTCATCTTTATGACACATAGACCCCACATGCTAGCAGATAAAAAGAAGTTTTACAGGCATTATAATGATCTCAGTGGGATTAGGATATCCTGATATTGATCAGTAGACCAGTAAGGTGCAGAGGCGGCGCAGTGTGTTGTACTGACCTTGCCGCACAAAAACCTGTCCGCCACGAGCATATTTTTACTGCAAAGGTCCTATGCCTAAAATGTCATATGGGAGTGTAGGGAGGAGGGGTATTGATTGTGTGTTCACACTTGTCCAATTTCAACACAGTCTGTTTGGCAAGCTTCTGTTGCCATAACGACTCCGCTGCGGGTTGCCTTCCTTAGTCATCAGCCTGTGAGCAGCCTATTGTCTGTGGGAGTCTTCCTCAGTCACAGCACAGAAGGACAACAAACAACCACTATGTACGTTGTGGTGGAAGACATTCAGCGGGAAAAGCTGCAAACACAAGAGTGACAAAATCTTTCATTGATACTCAGTTACCATAACTTCATAGTGTTTGATTCCTGGAGTCTGATGGATCTTGTGTAGGGCAAATATAACCGTTTGCTGAGGATCAGAATGTCCTCTCAGTTGTTTGTGAGACAACCTTTAATTAATATGTAGTGAGAAGTTAACTTTTATCAGTAGCCATTCTTAGTGAACTTTACTGACTTACTGCTCACAAAACCCTGACATTTTTTATCAGCTTTCTAATTTCATGCCTGTGCTGAAGTCGTAGCAAGATGTCATACATGCACCAAAAGTTATCTCCAACATAAACTCAGACTTTACAATGAAAAAAAAAAACTAAAAATTTATATCAGTGTGCTGATATATGCTGTATGCTGCAACGTGATCATGTGCTATGGAGGAATCGGTTCCAATAAGCATGCTAACAGATGGTCCTATCATTTCCAGTGGCTGAGTCTCATAAGTGTGAATCCAGTAGAAATGAGGAATTAAAAGTGCACAAGCTTCTGTGCTTTATTAATACACAATTAATTATATTTAAATTTGCTTTATTGACATGGTTATAAGGTTTACAATCTTGTTATAGCAGGGTTAGGCAGGCAGGTGATCAGGAAAAGTACNNNNAGCCAGGAGCGGATCATGACAGAAATGAAATCATCAAATCATTTTACAAATATGTAATAAGCTGGTGCTCATCTCATATCCATTTGGTGAGCTGGCTAAGTCATCAAATCCACAATAAAAATCACCAGTAATATTAGAAGAACCGCTTTTTGTTTTGCAGCTGTTCAATAACTCACCTTTCTATGTAGAACACATAAATGATTATTGAATTAAAAGATTAACACGAGCACATGATTAAATCATCCATCCTCTGCACCTGTGTTTTTACATGTTTACCAAATCCAAAAAGGTGACCATTCAAGCATTACAAATGACCACTCCCCCCCCACCCACAAACACAAACACACGCTCCTGTCCTCCCCATCCCGCTGCAAACCTGGAGGAGAGAGAGCGCAACTACATCACTGCCCCTGCCTCCCTCCTCACAGCGTTGGTCGCCATCCATCCCCTCTCCTCCTCCTGTACCATAACAGATGGTGGGAACAACATTGCATCCACCGGGTACCACAACAATAGACCGCAGCATCCAGTCCAGACGACGCTGGCCTTGCACCATCATGCTCCTTGTGCAGGACTGCGTGAGGCTTTGAGTGCCGTCGTGATTCATTTCACGCGGTACCGCCACCACCAACCACGGCCACGGAGGAACCTTCTTGCGACTGTTTGGGCTCTCCATCGAGCGGGGGAAGATGGCCGCTATGAAAATATTAACAGGCACGGGGCTCTTCTTGGCGTTTTGTGCGCTGGGGCTGCTCGCCATGGCGATTTGCACCGATTATTGGTACGAGACCGATGCGAGGAGACATCGAGAGAGGTGTAAAAACTATGCCAACAAGCGGAACGACCCGGGGTACATTTACATTTCAAACCACAACCTCCCCCTCCAGATGCCTCCAAAGAGCCTGGAGAGGAAAGGTAACGACGGCCCAGATGCTGGTGCTCTCATCAGGGGGAAGCGGCACTTTCTGGCCGCAGCGTCTGCCATGGAGTCTCATTGCAGTCGGCAGTTTAACTCCACCATCTCCGGGCTTTGGAGGAAGTGTCACCGGGAAGGCTTCGACCTGGAGACCGAGGACCTTATTTACAAAGGTAAACAGTCTGGAGGCTGGCTTTTTCCCGTGTGCACCAGGCCGTGATGCTCAGCGATGAGCTCACACCTAGCCCCGACACAAACACAGGATGGTACCGAGGCCCACACTCCTCCTCCTCCTCCTCCTTATATTCATGTGTGTCTGCGTTTTGTTACATTTGAATTTTATAAAACTAGATATGTATTGTGTTGTTTGGTAGAAGCTCTCGTTTCTTTAATGGTGAATTTCGCTGTCCATGGTGCTGAGTGAACCCTCCTCTGGTTGAGTCCCTCTCTGAGAGATAATGGCCGGTCTCCTCCATCTATAAGAGATTAAAAAACGTCTTGTAAAGGTTAATGTCATTTAAAAAAGGGTTTCATGCTGCAGAAGAAGCTGGATCATTGGTTAAATTCTTTGAATTTTGAGCCACAGCAGAGATACACGTTGTACAGCTTTCCTCATTGAACTACAATGAGAAGCTATATTTCAGGCCTATCTCATTTATGCATTACCTGGTCCAGACCAAGGTCCTAAACCTGATCAGACCCACAAAGAGAGGAACCTCCCTGTGTAGAAAACATGGGGGTCACAAGTTGTTGAGATTAAATCAGTGAAAGTAGATGAGCCTTCATACATCAGTATTTCTAAAAACAGCCCAAATTATACAATATTGACAATTTTCTCCTCCAAGCATTGATTCTGATCAACTACAACATGATTTGAAATCCAACTATGTCAGACCTTCACCCCTTTATCTACTTAGAAATAATAAATAATGCTCCATTTTTGGTGAAATCCGCAATTTATGGTTTATTTAAAACATTAAATAAAATTAATAACATGAGATAGGGCTCTGGGTTAAAATCATCTAGTATAACACTTTAACTTCTGCTTTTTAATGTGTAGCCTATAAAATCAGATTATCTCCACACACAGTGTATGCAATAGCAACACAGTAATGTTTTTGTTTAATTGACTGTACCTCTCAGTCCTACAGGGTTAGACTTGGCATGAACACATTACTCTGATGCAATACCTCTGCAACACATACTACTTTTATGAAGGCTGTTATCTTTTTGTTGTGTTTGTTGACATTGTCTGGGAAGGGTGTTGATTTACTCATTTGGTCATTTTGAATATATAAAAATATATTACAGGCTTCACGAGGGTCATATCTGTTCAGTGATACAGTATTTGATATAATGTCCACACTTTACACTCAATATGTTCATGTTGAACTA